TTTTGTTATACTGCTGGTCCGTCCAATCACTGTCTTAACCCCTTGAGTGAAACATTACTACTACTACTACTACCAACAACAACAACAACAACAACAACAACAATAATAATAATAAAACTAATAATAATAATAAAAATAATAATAATAACAATAACAATAATAACAATAACAATGACACTGAACCCAAACTGAGATCAAAACCTAACAACCATTACAGCTAAGGTTAATTACCCTAATGACCAATAACAACCTAACAGCCAGGTCGCTAATGTTATCACCTCATTAACTACTAATATTATAAGTGAGGAAAAGTAATTAAGTATCACTGATGTAGGAGACACACACACACACACACACACACACACACACGATTCACTAAATAAACATCACGATACTCTCTCTCTCTCTCTCTCTCTCTCTCTCTCTCTCTCTCTCATAGGACTACCAGGATAAACTAACCCTACTTTCTCTTCACTGTAGAGAGAGAAAGTACAGGCTTTGATCTCGGTCATTAGAAAGTTAGTGGCATTAATGATCGGAAAGGAAAGTCGAGTGAAAGTTTAGATGCTGGAAATGACAGGAGAAAGTTATAGAGAGAAAGTTAGGGTAGTGATGACCGCCAGTGAAAGCATGAAGAGTGGAAGAAAGGAAAGGGGGGAAGAGAAAGTTTTAAGCGTGATGTTGGTCTGAGAGAAAGAACATGAGGTAGAGAAAGTAGTAATATTATGTAGAGAAAGTAGAATAGAAAGATCATAGGATTTGTTTAAGAGAAGAGAAAGTTTTGTTATGGATAAATAGTAAAAAAAAGAAAGAATTTATGGTAGAGTGAAAGTTTAGGGATTGATGACAGAAATACGAGAGAAAGTACCGTTAAATCAAGAGAAAGTTGAATATCAAACAAGATAAGAAAGTACTAAACAAAATCACAGTGGGAAAAAGAGAAAGTAAACTCACCAATAACGATTTTCAGTGGAAAGTAAAAAAAACTACAGAGAAAGGTAAAACATTGACATTCTAAGGAGAAAGTATCACTCCCTTGCAGAGCTTTCCCTGACTACTCTCTCTCTCTCTCTCTCTCTCTCTCTCTCTCTCTCTCTCTCTCTCTCTCTCTCTCTCCTTTATTTACATTCTATGGTAAATAATGACCATCTGGCAACACTTCCTCCCGCTGATGCCATATTGAGATCCTTGATTTTTTTCCCCTTCATCTGAACAAATTTGGTGATTTTCTTTATATTATTATTTATTTGTTATTTATTTGTTATTTATTTGTTATTATTCATTATCCTTCATCCTGTTTCCCCTCACTATCATTGGTTCTTTCCCTCATTTCCCCTCAGTCTCGTATTGCATTATAATTTAGCTCTCCAATTTCTTCATTATTTCCCCTTTATCTCAAATTGTCATTCCTCATCATTATACAGTGTTTCCCCTCACTTTCCTGCCCTCACAATAACGTCCCCTCATTTCCATTCGATTATCTCGAACTATATTTTTTCCCCTCAGCTCTCACAATCATTTCTATCTCTCAGCAATAGTTTCCCCTCACCTCTTACCCTCATTTCCCCTTACCATCAACTACCACACCATCATCCGTTATTACTTCCCCTCATCCCTCTACCCACCCACCACTACCCCTCACCTGCCACCACAACTCCTTACTACCATTTCCCCTCACTCTACCACAATGCTCCCCTCTCTCCCCCTTTCCCTTCCCCCTTTACCCCTCACTTTACCCTTTACAATAACCCCTTTCTGATGACTTCTTAATTTTCCCCTCAGCAACTCCCCTCGGAAGTGACTTGGCTTCACCCAACAGTTTCCCCTTTTGTTGAAGAGGGGAAATAGAAGCCGCACGCTCTATAGAAGACAGAGGGGAAAGCTGTAACGATGGAAACCAGAATACCTGTCCCCTCGAATGACTTCTAAGCTTTCCCCTCTTCTCTTCAGATAGAAAGAAAATCGTGATTATGGGGGAAATAAGAGAGACCCCCTTATCCCCTCACCCTTCCCCCCCCCCTCTGAGAATTGAGCCTTTCACCCTCTTCTGCTTTTGATGTGAGGGGAAACATGGTGGTAATGGAAATCAGAACCTGTGTCCCCTCAACCAAGTGATTTTTTTTGTGTGTTTCTTTATTCCGGTCAAGAAGTGAGATGAAAATAGTGGTAATAGCAGTGAGGGGAAATAAATATATAACTGAGATAATGAAATACAGTGGAAACAAAGATGAGGGGAAATAATAGTGGAAATAGATAACCACCTTCCTTCAGAGGTCTCAAGTGAGGGGAAATTGATAATCTCTACCCTCTACAGGTCTTAGGTGAGGGGAAACAATGATAATATCAGACCTGTTTCCCCTCAGTCCCTCTCTCTGTCTCTCTCACAGTGAGGGGAACCAATTGGAGGGAGAGTTTCCCCTTCATGTGCATCACCATGGTAACCAAGACCAACAGATGACGCATCCAGGCATCCCCTCTCCCCTCCCCTCTCCCCTCACCT